CACCCCTAATATATATGTGAAATGCTATAACTAAAAGTGAATGCAATGTAATTAATACAATATCTCAACTAAAACTAAGAAAAGTTTAAACTAGTTTTCCTTGTCTTTAGATGGTACTAAAGATAAAATTAAATGAACTTAAAAACTTGATATTAATTGAGATGTTTTATTTTATGATACCCTTTGCTTTGATTACCTCTTATTATAAGTTTCTCTAAAGGTTACCCTCTGCTTTGATGACCTCATATTTAATTGCTTGTTTCTGTTAAGGTTTGTTATTTTGGTTATCTCATGTTATATGTTTCTCTAAGGTTACCCTTTGCTTTGATTACCTCGGATGTTGCTGAGGCAACATCAGCGTGTCTATTGGCACAGGCTGAGGAGGCGGAAAGAATGAAAATGCCTGCAGTAGTCCAAGAAAGAATGGTGATAGAAGAATTTGGCCGCTGTTTAATGCAGATAATAGATTCAGCAAATAGAACCAGAAGTGAGTAGAGTCTTGTCATTTCTAAGGAGGTATTGTCATAACTTTTTACTTTTTATAAGTTTCACATCTCTTAGTACAGAAATACTTTTTAAAAAGTTTTTAACAAGATCAAGATACTAATTTTGATTTAGATAGTACTATTTTATATTCTCTAAATAACTTAAGACTAAGAAAAGAAAAACCATCTGTTTAAATTTGTATTTGAGTGTACTGACAAATTTGCTTATCTCATTAGTTTTGTATTTGATTTTTCTGACAAAGTTGCTTATCTCATTTCTTTTCAGCAGCCAATTCTGTGGCTTGAAAGTAAATGCAAGTGATTTATCAATGAGAAAAAAGTCTGACCTCTCCAGATCAAGATGCTGAGACTGGACTTGCTCCAAGCCAAGTAAATTGAATGTCTTTGCCTAGCTAGACATAACTTGCAGAACTAAAGCTGTGGTTCGAGCTGAATTTTCTCTGATATTGAGTCCGTCTTGAATTCAAAAGCATGCTGTGATCATCACAGAAGTAACCTGTCAAACCTTCGTCTTTATCCTTGCAGAATTTAGCATTAAGGTCGCTGAAAGGTCCATCTTAAACAAAAAAAAAAAGACTTCTATTCATTTTGAATATGTTCCTATTAAAACTTCTTGCTCCTCCCTAACCTGAAAAAATGTTCATTTGAATGAACAGTTGGAATTGCATAAATTGTTAAATATAGTTAGGTCTATAGTCTTCATATATTTTTATCTATAAATATTCCAGTTTTAAGTAAATGTGAATCTGTAAAATATGTAAAATAAAGTAAAAAAGAAGTGTCATTGTTTTATTAATAACTATGCTATTTGCAGATGTGTTATGAGCCTGACCATTAGACTTTCCTCGACCAAATCTTTAGGTTGATGAAATAGTTGAAAATGTTTGTTTCATAATGCGTCTAATTCTGATCTGTGTTAAGAACTTACTTCAACTAAGATTTCTTGTGAAACAGTTGTTCAAAGCTAAGAAAATGATGGTATATCAACTAGGCAATTTGTTTTTTTCTTTAAGTTTTGATGTAAACTTGACATTATGGGATTTAGTGACTGACAATGTATACTCCACATCATGGAATATGGAATGTAGTGGCTGACATGTATACCAGTACTTGACATCGTGGTTTCTTGTAACACATTGGTGAGCCAGGCTTCTGAATAGTTCAGAGGCTATCTAAGATTCTCTGATATATTCCAACTTTCCTGCATAAAGCTTGGGGCAATTGTTTCTTTAATGCTTCTGCATATAGATGTCTTTCAGAAGGGGCAAAGTAATAAAATACTTCAAAGGCTGATCTTTGAGAGAATCAAAGCATTGCTGATGTGTCTATTGTTATGTTGCATATCTATTAATCTAATAGCTGCTAGTAAAGTCATTATATAATTAAAGACCTAATCAGCCCTAAGTCTAATACTGGTTGAGATTGTCCTGAAAAAAACCTTGTTTAAAAAAAGTTCACCTTACCTATGGATATAGTAGCATTCAGACATTGAAAGAATTATTAATATGTCTCAATTCTTAACCAAAGAGACTGAAGGTGGCCCTTGTAGTTTGTGAAGTTAGATATAAACAGTTATTATTAGATCTACTCCCTTGTCCATGTGGATTTTTCAATGTGAAAATTGAACTGCCTAAGATTTCTTTGGATGTGATGTTCATATTTATATTATTTTTCAAAAATAATTTATGCATCTCTGTTAGTATCAAAAGAGTTGACCACAGAATCTTTAAATTGGAAGACAGTAGTGTACGCATCTATTTGGCTCAATTTAGTATTGTTCTTTTTTTTATATTATTATTCATTTGCTGCCTTTTTTATTGTTTATTAATAGTTGAATTTTTATTAACAAAGAATATTGTTAATAAACATTAAGAGGAATTATATGTTAATTGAATAATGGATTGATAAAAAGCAATGCCTAATGGAATTTTAATAAAAGATATCTAATTGAATTCTAGTTATAACAAAATTATACATTACTTTAGGAATACAACCAATGTTAATGCAGTCTTTCTCCATCTTAAATAACAGGTTAGTTCATAAGTTTCACCAACAATTGATCTGTTATTAAATGAAATAAAATGTATAATCTATATTCTTCTGTTCTGGTATTGTTGGACTTTTTATTAGTACAAGGCATATTTTAATATAAAAGGCTATTTATATTTTACTTTGAACTTTTTCCCCCTAGAAAGTTGCATATATAATGGATGTCTCTTATGTTAGTCATTTTTATATGAATTCGATCGTTACCATTGGAGACATGGACTTCCTTTATTAGTCAAAATAAATACAGAGTAAACTAATGAAAATATGTTGGTTACTACCTAATGTCTTGATGCCTGCCTAAGCTTAATTAATGTAGTCATTTGTAAAAATTGTGAAATCTGTCAGACATTCTTTTCTTAAATGATTTGAGGCCTTTATAGCATAGAAAGTTGGTTTTTAAAGGCATTTTGTGTTTTGAGAGATCAAGCTTGTTATTATTTAATTTGAAGAATTGCATTCTTAGTTGAGCATCAAATTTTTGCTTTGACCTGCTCTTACCTGGGAGACTATCAGATCATTTTATATTTAAATAACATGGTTTGACTGTATTGGAAGTGATCTGAAAAGATTCTTATGCAATGAATTGATTATTTTTACAAAAATAATCTTAAAAACTTACAAATGCTGCCATTGTTAAAAAAAAACAACTCCCTTTTGCTTTTTATTTCTATACCTTTTTTTAAAAAATATCTGTTAAAAAAATTATCTTTAAAAAAAAAACTGTAGAGCTAAGTAGGCAATATTCATTTTTTATATGTTTTTTGGTATCTCAAAAACAAAACAAAAAATCAACAATACTGTGACCGCAAACTCAAAACTAGTGCTGGCCTGTTCTGTAACTTTTGTTACAGCTCTTTAACATGTGCCATAATAACCATTTTGTATGTCTCACTTCATCTAATATTATAGCTTTTTTTTCCTTCCAACTGTGTTAGGTTGGGGTGGGAGTGAGCTTGTATGTCTTGAACTCAAAGTAGTCCACATTTTAGGATTTCATTATTTACCTCTTTAAGTCTGAGTGTCTTGAATGAATTTGTGTTTTTCTTGGGAAGAATGCTGGGTTATTTTTTTTGGTCATCTACTTTTCATGCCATCAAAGTTCATTGTAACATTGTGTATAGGATGTGAAATATATTTCTGATGTTTATGTGTGAGAGAAACATTTTCATAATTTATTCATTCTCTATTGCAGTGGTTCCCAACTCTTAGGGTATGGCCCTATTTTGATATGGGATTATTTACACTGGGGTAGCCAGTTAGTTTGACTAAATGAGAGTGAACAAATGACAAATATTTACTTTAAAAATGTAAACACCTCTCATTGATAGGGAAACATATTGACACTACTATGAAACATAAGCTAGTTGCTTAAAGTAATGAATACACAGTGTAGCTTATGTAAACTGTACTCTCTGACCTAACCCCTTGAAATACAAACTAAACCTTTAACAATGGCCCACAAGTGGTTATGAACATGAACAGTAAAGGTCATTGAAACTAAGTACTCCAAGATGCACCAGATATTTAGAATTAAATAAAGTAAAAAGTAGTCACTGCATGGTATGATTAACTCATGTTAGTAAAATTCTACCAATACCATTGCAGGAGGTTCTTTATTCAAAACTTCATTGCATGTGCAACTCTTTCAATCGTTTCCTTTCTTGAGCAAAGTTGATTTTGAGAGTTTTCAGTTCTGCATTGCTGTGTGTCGAAGCAGAAAGAAAATTTTTTTTTATATTTATGAAAAAGATCAATAATTAACAACATATTGAAAAGAATTCATCTTTAAATTTCTTTGAGAAAGCTTAATTTAGCAGAATTGCATATCTTGGAGACTTGTTTGGAAAGCAACTTAGGATGAGAATTTTAAGGAATTTAAAGATTGAAAATCTAATATTTTTTTTTAAACTGGCAAAATGTGAGAAATTTTTTGTTTGCTAACTGAATTTTCAAACAAATTGTAAAGAACTACATACCCTCAGTCCTTTGAAGATAAAACCAGAATTATTTGTTAGCTCTTAAATGAAATAAAATAATTTTCAGATCTTGTATGTGATTTGTATTTAAGGTGGTTAGCAGATAGACTCCTTACATTTGACTTGTTTTCATAAGAACTACAGCTCACGGCAATGTGACCCAGTTCAATACTGGGCTCCATTTGTGTTTTAGACCTCCTTCTTAGCTCTTTCTCATTGACAAGAACAAAATCAGAACCAACCTGCTTTAGTGTAACATCTCAATGAGTGGTAATCTAGGGGTTAAGTGTAGAGGTGGAAATCATAATTCCTTGCATACAGTGAAAATCTTTATTTTCCTCCTGGAGATTGACTAAATGCTGTCCCCAGCTTTAATGTTATGTAAACTAAGGAAGCACTGACTTTGAAACTGAGACTTTGATGAAACACAAAAGGCTGGGAAGCACTGCTCTATTGAAACTTTGCTTGAAATGTGACACTTTTTTTTTTTTTTTACTTTTTAGCCTGCATGTTATTGGAACATGAAATGTGTGTATGCTTGATAACAATCATTCAATATGTGTCACTGATAGACAATGTAAATAGCTAATTATAAATTGAGCAGAATTGTTTCTTTCCTTTTAAAAATATGTACTATATTTTATCCAAATTTTTTAATGTGCAAGTAGAATTATAAATAATATGAAGTGAAATGTGACTTGAGTTTGTGTACTTTTATTTTTTGTGTGAGTAGTTGTTTTTACATTGTCTCTGGGTCTTTCTAATTGAAATAGAATCAGATTTCATCAGCAATTATTCCAGACTTTGCAAAGGCTGATGTCCGAAGCTCATGGTCTCAATGTTTGCCAACTGCAATGTGAGGCTCAGTGGGAACCGTTCCTACATGTAGAGTTAGGACTATTGATTGTAGGCTCTGATGATACCACGTTAGGGAAGCAATAAGGATCAATTATTTCTGATTTAGTGTCAGTGACATTTAGGGTCACAAGTGAACAGCCATCCCCCCCCCCTCCCCCACCTGGTAAGGCTGGAAGCTTATATTAGAAATGCATTACTCAGAAGAAAACATCTAGTAGCTGTATTCTTCGATATTCTTTTGTGCTGAAGAGAGATGAGCCCCCATTTTGTGAGTACTGTGACTCTCGCCTCACCGTGGAACATATCCTCGTTGATTGCCCCAGATGCCAGGAAATATTTTAGAGCCACTAACTTAAAAACACTATTCGATAATGTCGACCCTGGGAAGGTACTGGGCTTTATCCGGGAAGTGGGGTTGTCTACGAAGATCTGATTTATGAATTTGTGAACATGTACTATTTACATTAGATTTTTTACCAAATTATTAAATTTTTACTACCTTTACTATTTTAACTGTGAATAGACCTTGATTTTAATGATTTAACTGTATAGAATTTAGCCCTTGTTATGTAGAGAGAGAGAGAGAGAGAGCAATCCTTAAGGGAATGCAGGCACGACATGGCCAAAAATTGTTTCGATGTGCCTAAAACCAAACCACCCACCCCCCAATCCTTTTTTTTAAAAATTCCAATACATAAACTAAAATTACTTGTAAACAAATGAAAAAGGTTTAAATCGCTTGTGTAGAGTATGTATCTCCAGGAAAGATGTGTGCTCACACATTGTCGAGTTGATTGTTAAAAAATAATTTATATAACTTGCCTAAACTGCTCTGATTTCTTGTATATCTTTATTCTGAACATCTGGGAGTCCTGAAGTTAAGAAAATATCACCTGAGTGGAACTAAAACATGAACACATTAAAGGATGTCTTTCACTCAGCAATTTTTTTCTTCGTAAGCCTTGCTATAGAGGTAGTCTCCACAATTATAGGCCAGTTTTAATCATTGGCACTTTTAGAAACTTCATACAATGTGGCCCCAACTGACGATTTAGATGAAGTATTAGGTTCATTATTGTAATTTATTCAAAGCATATATACAATTGGTTATTGTATCCCCCCTCTCCCAAAAAAAAAAAAAAGGTTGGATGTGTTTGTGTGGAGGATTGATTCGAGTGTTCATTACTTTCCCAAGCTTGTCTGATTGTAGAATGATTGGATTTCTTGTTCCTCAACCCTTTACGTGTTTCGAAGTTTAATAACCATTAAGAATTTTTTTCCCCCTTTGCAACTTTTTGTGTGACTAAAGAGGCCAATCCTTGATACACAGCTGCGGTCATAGTTTGGGCCCCTTCTTTCTGCTTCTGTTGTGTATGACATCTTCAATCCGGGACTCTTCCTTTATGCTCGCTCTCCATGTGGATCTATCCAGTGCTACTTTTTCCCAGTTTTTAGTGTTGATTTTTAAGAGCTTCATGTTTGCACACATCCGTATACCGTATGTATACTGTATTTTTTTCCCAGAATAAATGAAGAAACTAATAGTGAATAAAATAAATGAGAAATGGACAAGCTTTCATCCGAATCACAAGAAAGATGATGCCTATTTTAAGCTATCCTGTCTGATCTTTAATTTCGACTCAGGACCGGACACGACACAATGAGACAACAATGTACCGAAGATCAAAATTGGAACCAGTGAAATCTGCCCATGTGGAGTGTCACCAGAGAATGCTGACCATGTCCTTCAAAACTGCTCTCTTTACCAAGAGGCCCGAACAAGACACTGGCCCCAAAACACCCCAATAGAAAAAAAACTATATGGAGAGCTCCCTGATTTTTAAACCACTGCGCAGTTTATCTCATATATTGGTCTAGTTATCTGAACACTACAACATAAAAATGAGAACGAAATAAATAAATAAAGAAATACTGTATTTAAACTATTTAAGTCATTGAACGATGGATTTAGTTTCTAATATCAACAATTACTTTCCCTTAAAGAACTATAAACCATGGTCGTAGACAGGATTTTTTTTTGGGGGGGGGGGCTGAACCCTAACCCTCCCCCCCCCCGGCTACGCCCATGCAGTATAAACAGTGAGTCATATTACTTGAGAGTATGTTTGGTCCACCTTAACTTAGGTGTACCGGTAAAACACTTGGACATGTGTTTGAATCATCAAGATTCTTTGATTACTCTAAATCGATACTCTACTGTGTTATCTCCTCTTTAGGGTCATTCACCGAACTGATTCCTTTCCTTTCAAAACAAATTCCTAATAAATTGGCTGCTTATAGATTCTTTCAGTTCATCTCTTGTTTCTTTATTTGTTGGATCATGCCTATCACGTCATTACAGAAGACGCTTCACCTCAACGTCACTTTACTGTAGTGAATGTGGAAGCAACTCCAAGTCGTAAATGACAGAGAGAGAGAGAGGACATGCCTTTAGCAAAAAGAAATTTATTAGGCCTATGGATACTAGGGGTTAGTAATTGTGTTGACATCTTGACACATGTATTAGTCTGTTCACAGACAGAAAAAATTACAATTGGACTAAGTGACACTGCCTTGATGAGTAACATTTCTAGGAGGCTGTCTATGGCGCGTGGCCTACCGGTGTCGAGTGTAATTGTATGTTGAAATGTTTTACCACTGGCTGTATGGCAACGAATTCACGCCCCGAGGACGTGTCAGATAAAATCTCATACAGCAACTTCTGAAATTAATCAAACAATCCTTTAGCTTCTGTACGGATTAAAATAGACATTTTTATCAAGCTTATGAAAAACATTTAGTCCGCCGCAAGGGAACACTACTCTTGATTGTTTTTGGGCATACTTTTCTGAATATTAAACGAATCCATTAGAACAGGGGTGGGCAACCTTTTTCTACCGAGGTCGCATTAAAAGAATTTTGAGAATGGGGGCCCGCCTTAGGCCACTGCAACCTATGCGGCCGCAATGAGCCCCGCACTTTCATAAGCCACGCGCTAATTCTAGGTGTAAATAATTCAATTAAACCATTATATCATACAGCGTTCAACATGGCCTTTTGATTTCTATGAGTGCCAGAAATTGCAAAATATACGAAAAGTCCTGGAAATGTCCTGAAATTATTAAAATTCTGAAAGTATGTTACCAATCTGTCTGTAAAGCCTCTGTGCGTAACAAGGTGGGAATGTGGAATAGAAAGTGTCCAGGCACTTTGTTATCAATTGCCTGAAATTTGAGACGCACTCGATGAATTAGCTGCGATAATTGAAAGTGAAGCAGAAACACTGTATGAAACATTGAAGCAGTACAAAGTCTTAGTGTCACTTGTGTTATGGTACGACGTGCTCTTCCAAGTCAATTTTGTTAGTAAAGAACTGCAAAATGAAACAGTAGATTTGAGCACTGCAATGGACTTGTACAACAATTTGATGACTTGGCTAAAGAAACTGAGAGTTGATGGGTTTGTTCAGAATCTTGTGACAGCAAAGAAGTTGTCTGAAAACATGGAAGTTGTTGCAATCTTTCCAGCCTATCGTCAAAGGAAAAGGCAGTTTCATAAAACTGTGGAAAATTTCACACTTGAATTGCTTCAACAGAATATTTTTTACAATACCCGTAACTGTGGCATCGTGTGAAAGAAGCTTCTCGCCCCTCAAGCTAATCAAGAATTACTTGAGGTCAAGAATTCACGAAGATATACTGTACAATTTGACGATTGAGCCTGATCTATGTAGGAAACAGAATTATATGATATGCATATGCTGTCTGACTTCGCTACACGCAAGTCTCGTAAAGTTAATTCGATCGTAATTTTGTACTTAGTAAAGACTGGATAAAATGCAAAGACGAATTTATTTTCGAATACTAAAATCTAATTTTCATTTTTTATCCTTATCTCTAAACTGACTGGGCCCCGCGCAATACGTTTCGCTTAGGGACCCGCAATTGTAAGGGCCGTCATTGGGAGAAGCATATATATACATACATACATACATACAAATGAATAAATAAATATATGTATGTGCGTGTGTAATGTCTTTTAATTCACATAATAATGTAATATACATTTACATGTCCTTTTTATTACACTCTCAATTGAGAAATAACAACAAGAGTTAGCAATTTCTGAAACTAATTTTACGAATATCTTTTTAAATTTGCCATTGGTATGTTTTTATCACAACATTTCAACACAAAAGTACATTTTATTTAATGTAAAGTATTTAACTGTTTACACTCGTGCATAATGTTCCGGAACTGTGGAACTAGATTACTAGTTGATATTCTTGTGACTGCTGTCAAATTAGAATCAGTCGCAATCGACCTGTTTTTACAAGTGTTTATTAAAAATAAATATTTGTTTACAGATTATGTGGACCCAAATAATGAGAAAGTCTAGCAGCAAAGTGTGGAAATACAGCTTCTGGCACCCATAAAACTCCCGCGGAAGAACTGACTGGAACTTCTCTTTCAGGTTACAATTTGCTTGGATGTATGTCTTCTGGAGCTGAATCAGCTTCTGCACTAAGAAAACTGGTTACAAGTTTTCGACGTCTTAAAATTTGCCTTCAAATTCCACAACCATTTCACTAGAAATAGTTTCACTTTTCAGCAAAGGAAATGGACAGAACCTGTTTTCACTTGCTTGCCTGGAGAAATTGGAACACTTTGTTTGAAAAGATTAAACATGCATTTACACTTCCACTTTTCATTCGAAATATTAATATAAAAGTTACAATCAATGTCCTTCAAGGAACATAATTTCTTCCTTGAGATTCTATAGTCTTCTCAACATGGGCGCAGCAAGGATTTTCTTTCGGTGAGGGTGTGACTGGGGTGT